GGTGCTTGCATCTCTCTATCCCTGCATTATCCCTGAGTTCCAGTAAATAGGAGGTGTTATCGTTATATTAAAAAAAATGTATAAAATTCTATTTCTTAACATATTGGGATGAAATTTTCACGACGCTGATGCCAAATGACGTGATATTTGTTTAATATACAGTATTTCAATATTTTTTTTTATTTGGACAAATATTTTTGCAATCCTGGTCCCTTAAGAGAAGATCCCCTAAACTACAGGTGGTGTTCAGAGGCATTTTATGAACAGATCCAGGAACTGGGACTACAATTTATGAAGAGAGGTTATGTTTCCTAAAATTTCCTAGACAGGTAGATGAAGAAACCCAAACCAGTCATATGCCGAGGTAGCCCAACACATGAACCCCCCTGGAAGGTGCAGCAGGTCCACAATCACCTGTGCCAACCTGGTAAGTACATGGGGAGCCAGATTCAAACTAGCAAAAAGGACCTTGAAGCGGTAAGCCTGATGCCCGACTACAAAACCTAGTCAGCCCCTGAACCTGGGATAAATAGGAATGTGCTAGCATGCCCCTTGAGGTCCAGGAACACCATCCAAGCTCCAGCCTGTAAAACCAGGTGCACTTTAACCAAGGTGGTCATGGTCATGCAGAAAGTAGGACAGAGAATGGAGTAGTTCAAACCCAATTCATTGAGTATATACCTTAGGTCAGCGGAGTTCCTCTTCGGATCTGGGAATAACTTGGACACTACCAAAGGGATGCAGTCAATTTGACTAAGCCTGAGGCCAACCAACTTGCAGGTGACCAGATGCAGAACCAGAGAGAACCTGACCCAAAAGCCTGACCCCCCAAGAAAGGGAACAGGAGCTAGCAAAATGAGCCAGATGCCACTCCACTGTGACTTCAAAGGGTGAACTGAAAAAAGGCCAGCACAAACCACAAATGGAATCACCTTTTCGTGATGTGGAATTGCAACGTCTAGTAGAAAAGGAATTTGCAACAGGAAGCGCAACAGCCTGAAAATCTGATTCTCGAGGAACTACCTCGACCAACAGCAGGGGAGGTTCCAACCCTTCTACACTGCCTCCAAGCAGGGGCAGAACCCCAAGAAAACAACAAATGATCAATATCCTGACAAGAAAAAAAAAAAGAGTTGCAAACAGAACTTAGGATATTTCATCATCTAAAAAGAGGAGAGGCCAGATAGGGGAAGCAGATCAAATGGAAAAGGACCAAGCTGTATCAAATGAATGGGTCAATGTGGCTTGTCGACATAAGAGGTGAGGTGAGTAAAATGGTGACTGCCTCCAGAATGAGTGGCAAGCATTTTGGACAAGGCTGCGAAGGTAGGAACCACAGGCTTAAAGGCCTCCACACTGGGCAGTACCAAGTGAAGTCACATTCTCAAGGAGCTGCCTGGAGAACCCCTCCTAAAGACCCAAATCCCAGAAGACTGCCACTAAGGGCAAACATGCTTTGTGGTCATTCACAGTAAGAACACCATACAGCACAGACAGCTGCACATGGAGCTGCCATTGGCCCACATCCCTGGGGTGTGCCGAAGTAAACAAGCAGTTACCGAATGGAGCACAAGCAGCACTGCCAAAGACTAAGACCAGCTGAAAGATGGCACACCACACCTGCCAGTCAAACATGCAGGTTGAACAGAATCCTTGCCAAGCCCTCTTAAGGAAAGGAGGGGTATGTCAGCCAGCCATGATGAATTCAGAACCTCACATCGCAGCCAGTAAGCCGAAATGGACCCATACCCCAAGGAGACCAGATCTATTCAGTGAAAAGGGGTCCAAATTTTGCAGGAAGTATTGAAATAGATTCGCATGAGTCACCGAAGGAGAAACTTGGAAAGACGGAAATCTCTCGAAATAAAAGGATTCTGAGGCACTGAATAGGATCTTAAATCTAACCCGAGGAGGAGCAGCCAAATGATCATATTCATTCATAGGAAGAGAATATGAAAATTTATCCCCTTGAAGCAAAAAACCCCCTGGAGAGGTAACCAAGGGCCAATAAAGGCGGAAAGACACCCATGACACCACTCTTCAGGCTCTCCCTGAGCCCCAGAAACCTGCTACAAAGGCTTTGGGGTAGAGCCGTAGTTCTCGTCCAACAGAAAAGTGTCCTGCAGAGGAAGAGAAGGCTCAGTGAGGGGTTAGGGGTGGGGACTAGAAAACTCAACTGCCTCCACTGTGTGTGTATGAATGTGGCTACCCACAGAGAAGGCAGACCTACACCACCGAGCTAAACCCCGCCCCTGACTCCAAAACCCTCAGAGGTTTTGGAGCTGGAACGATGGGGTGGATGGGGAGGAGACCAGAAGCAGGCCGAACTGTGTTGCAAGGGGAAGGAATAAAGGGTGTGGTAGAGATCACCGATACCCCCTCAGTTCCCGGTCCAAAAATATTGTATGAATGTCTAATCCTAGCTTTCAAAGTGGCAGCTGCCTGAAAAGCTTCTGCATTTGAAATTGAATCAGTTAAAGCAGATGGTCATTCTTTCTGCTTCCACCATGCTGTCACTGACCCAACAGACAGCATGGCATAGGCAGAAAGAATGACCATCATTTAGTAGCCAAGATGATGAGCACCCTTCAAACTCATTCATGGTGAGTGTGGGCTTGATAGGCCAATCTTATTCCAACGACCTGTGAGGGGGGATTACCAATGCCTGAAGGCAGCTAGCCAAGCAGGACACCCTGGCACTGAGGCTGCTCACCAGAAGACAGATGCCAAGTGGATCATATAAACAAATGCATGAGCTCCTGCATACCCAAGTACAACCGACAGAATGCCTCAGCCCCAAACAGAGGAGGGAAAGACTCGTCAATAGCCCTAAGTGAGGCTCTCTACCCTGATGGCCTCACTTCTTGGGCAAATTCCTGAATGCACCAGTGCAGGGAAGCCGGGTAGAAAACACACACTCACACAAAGCTGAAACTAAAATATAAAACAGTACAAAGCAATGGCTTTGTACTTGTTCCTCACAGGAACAAATCCATTGATGGCCAGGAATTAGCTTCCAGCAGAGGGGGGCTTGCTTCTTCTGATAGACCTGAAGCTGTGTCTACTAAGGCATCAGCCGAAGAACTGACAAGGAGGATGGCTGTGTGCAGATGCTGGGATGCCTGGTGGTGAAATTCAGTACTGTACTATGTGTTTTGCACTAATATTGAATGTTTCTCTTGCTCTGTGTGAATTGTTTGCAGAGTTGTTTGGCATTTTTGAGTCTTTCTTGATTTTTAACCCTCCAGTTGTCTGTAAAGCTTCACTGACTTTCTGGATGCTTTCCTAGTGTGGTGGCGAATTGTCACTTGTTCTCTTTCCCTCTGTGAGGAGGCCAGATTTTGTCTCTGGTCCCCAGTAAGCCAAGCAGAACAACAACTAATGTGACCCATTTGCATGGAGCAATCTCAGCGAGAGAGCTTTAGGGAGTCAGAGGGGTTCCTGTAGAAAACCCATCATTATATGTAATTAAGAGCCTCTTTCTGGTAGAGACTTGTTGGCTTCCTGAAGATATCGAGGCTTCTCTAGAAAAGCTTTGAAAACTCTTTAAGGATCAATCACACAAAATTGCAGATAGTGTTTAGTGTAGTGCAGGTGTTAATGTGTCCCATGAGTAAGTAATATTTATATAAGTACAATGTTGGGCACTGCTCATATATATACATTTTAGAGTTAAAGTTAAAATGCTTTGAATGTAAAGAAAGTTGTTTGAAATAAATTTTTATAATGCATATTTACATGTGTCCACTTGATTCCTTACATCTTTGAATCACTGCATTAATTATTCACAAAATTTAAAATAAATTTACGTGTGTTAAATTTTAAACAGGTAAATGTGAACTGTATGTATATTACATGAGAAAATCAATTGGAGCACTGAAGTGACTCAAATAAAACCGGATACCCCCAACAATGCACCTTACCCCTGTACCACGACCTGGTAATAAGTTATACAATCTGGGATTCCACTGAATCCACAGGAAGTCTTGAGGCTTCTACTGAAGCCAGTAAAAGTTTCATATGTAATCCCATGCACTCTCGTGTAGGTAAAGTATGCTCCATCTTCAGATACACAAGGAAATCATGCTAATATGATATATATATCAATGAGAAAATCAGTTGGGAGTACTAAGCCTGGAGCATATAGTAGATGAACTACTTTACCTGCACCAGAGTGCATGGGGGATACTGTATATGTAAAACTTGGACCAGTTTTAGTAGAAGCCTCCAGATTTCCTGTGGATTCATGGAATCCCAGGTTGTATGACCTATTACCATGTTGTAGTACAATGGTAAATTATGCGGCTGGAAGTACCCTGATTGCTGGTTTATCACCTCAGTGCTCCAGTTGATTTTCTCATTGATATACAGTATATCATATTAGTGTGATCTTGTTGTGTATGTTACATATTTATTTTAAGTTAAATATGAGTTAATTTGTCATACGTTTTGGGTAATTGTATAAATTCAGTAATGCTGTGATTTGAAACTTCGTAAATTGTTCATGAGGACATTCTGTATATTTGTGTGTATAATACTGTAAGTTTACCAGATGCAGAATGTGTGTGTGTGTTTCATTGAATACGATTGCATATTCCATGTATTGTATATTGCATATTTATATATACAATGTATATTGCATATATATTGCATACAATTGCATATTGTATATTGCATATTTAGAGGATTTCTCTAAATGTCATTTAATCCCCTTCCAATTAAACCAAGATGCAAGAGCATTAGTCAGAGAGATAGAAGCCCTAAACAAAAAAATAATCAGCATGGAATATGCAGTCATATTCAGTAAAACAGATCTGTATGTACTACAGTGTATACTGTAGTATATTAAAATCATTGTCCTAGGCCAAGTTTAGCTGTTCAGGTATTATAATTTTAATATGCCTCATCATACCCACATTCACATGGGGGAACACTGAACATACTGTATAGGTATGTTTGACCTGAAGATAAACGATGATGATAACTGGTTTCATCCTCAGGGTTACCAGCACATGGTTGGGTCCAGCAGCATCATGGTAGCCACATGCGGATGCGGAAGGAGTCGGGTAAGTGATTTGTTAGGATGGGGTCAATTTTGACCGACTGATATATCGGGAGTTAAAAGTACAGTATTTTTGCCATTGTTACCCCCTCTTTCTTCTTTAGTCCAATATGAATTATGTAAATAGGAAAATTAACCCCTTGTTTAAAAGTAATATTTTCACATGTGAAGTACTGTATTCTATGTTATTCTGATAGTTTTTAAATATTAAATCTTGGTGTGTGTTTCTGGGAATGCATAAAAATGATGACAATTTTGTTTCAAGACTGGATTTGTCATTGAAAAGTAAGTCTTTACACAACTTATCTCATCTAAATGGTAATATCACTCTTTTTTAGAGTATACTGTATATAACATCATGAATATTAAATGGTTGTAAAACTAATACTGGACTATCCTTTTATTAGATTTAATTATTGGATCTCATTACCAGTGAGCTTTGGATCTGACATTTCGACACTGTATTTAAATAGTCTGCTCTTTGCTGGTGTCATCCCTTACAGACTTAAAAATAGCAGAGGTTGCATTATTCCACATAGAGCAGCATAGTAAAAGTAGAAAATTATAAACAAATAGCACTAACATCACCCATAAAAATATATATAAAAAAAAGTGCTATGAATTAAGATCACAAAACACATTTGATCACAATGGCTACATAATCCTGGCCAACAAGGGCTTAGAGCAGGATGCTCCTGCTACTAAGAATTGTTAGACCACTGTGATGTGGCCCCAGATGCTATGGAAGACATGAACTTCACAGAATCTTTGATGAATATGACAGTAGTGTCATTGTCAGTGTCACAAAATGTACACAAAAGAAATAATTGGAATGTAGGAAGATGTTCCGTTAATTTCCTAACAAATAGACCCCAAAGAGTAATAGTCGAGAATGACAATGACTTTATGACAATCTTTCTTTGTTTCAAATGTGTTCCATTTGTTTTGTATTTTTCATTTACGTCTCAATAATGGAGCAAACTACCTGACAAACACTGAACGAACCTTTATGGCATTTGTCTGTTTTTCAAATTGTTTCAACTTTTTTTTTTTATTTTCGTTTATTTTTTATATAAGAAACATGGAGCAGCCTACCTGCCGAACATCGAATGAACCTTTTTGACATTTGTTGTATTTCAAATTTTTTGTTTTTTCTACAAAAAAGTCATTGCTATGCAACAACTCAGCAGTCATTAGCCAGTCATATCCCAGCATCATTAGCATCTTTAAACAAAAACAACATAATTTATTTGCATCGTCGGAGGCGTCCGAGAATGTGCGAGAAGCAGCGGGACCCCACCATGTGGTCTTGTCGTCATTAAAACGAGCAGTCGCCATACGAGACGAAATTGTCGGTGATCTGGGTGATCGTTACTCAAAATGCTCGCCATTTGAGGCGATCGTCACTCAAGGTTCTACTGTACTGTATATTAATGGATGAAAAGGCATAATATAGGAGATAATAATTAGGTGTTTTTAAATATAAACACAAAATAACGTGTTTTTAAATATAAACACAAAATAAGGCATTTTTAAATATAAACACAAAATAAGGCGTTTTTAAATATAAACACAAAATAAGATGTTTTTAAATATAAACACAAAATAAGGTGTTTTAAATATAAACACAAAATAAGGTGTTTTAAATATAAACACAAAATACACACAGACTTTAACAAAAATTCAAAATGTAGGTTCAGAAAATTCCTAGGTATATATTGGTTTAGAAATGGGGTTGTTAATTTCTGAAACAAATTATAAACTTGTTCCTAGCGAAGGTTGAGCATACATATGAATAAATCTGGTTGTACATAAATAGGAGCCACCATACATAGGCCAGTAGGCCTTCAATAGTTGCCTTTGCTCTTAAGTTCTTAGTTTTACAAATACAGTATGCAGTACACTGTAAAATACAAAATACAGATGATAAATTTCAATAGAACTGGGGAAAAATGTATACAAACTTACATTAAAATTAATAGTACTGTATATTAAGAGGAGAACAGGATTTCAGAACACTAGACTATTTCCAAAACAATGGAATTATGGTCCATAAACACAAGAGATTACCCGGGATTATATAGAAAAAGACAGTACAAGCACCATATGAGATATTACACAAGAATCAGTCACACAAAGAACAATTATGACAGTGAGATATTGTTACCAGAATTCAATCTTTTCAGATGTGATAGAAAACATAGGCTACAGGGTGGGGTCAGCCCCTGTATGGAAGACACTCATCTGCAGTGAGCTGCCAAACACCACAAATGGTGAAAGTGCTGATAATCAAAAATATAAATTCTAAATGTGGTGACTGTCTTCGTATATAAATTGCCAGATGCAAATCCTTAGCATTTTAAAGGCCAATTAATGAAATGGAATACTGTTTAGAAACCCCCTCACAAACCCTGCCCCAAACATCATCATACTTGGTGACTTCAGTTTACGGCACCTAAAATGAAAAAATGTGGCAAATACAGTTATACCAGAGAATCCCAGGAAGCAGAGTAAGTTAATTCACACATAAATGACCTTGAACAGATGTGTGACAGATTTGCCTTAAACCAGCAATTAGTAGAATTATTTAGAAAACACCTTAGATCTGATTTTTACAATAACAAATTGATTAGGGACATAATGGATTACAAATTCATGTTACTCAGATTACAACTTAAGTGAAGTTCAGATATGCATGGGCATAACCTGTACAATAAGTCTCAAATCCAAGAGGAGAAGAATTCAGCAAATTCAATATACTGTAATAGCAAATGGATTAACTGGGAAAAAATAAACCAAGATCTCACAGAAATATGCTGGGAAAGACCACTAGATAATGCAAACTTAAACCAGTGCCCTGAAAAATTAGCAGAATAACACTAGAAATATGTGCAAGTCACTAAGGGGAAAGAGAAAAAGATGTAAACTGGAACGAGAATGGCATTCCCTTTATAAGCGATGAAAACAAATCACAGAACATCTCAAATGCTCCACTCTATTCCAAGAACAACAAAGAAGGCTATTTGGAGAAACAAACAATTGAACTAAAGTTGCAAGAATCATATAAAACCCAAGAGAAGCAGAGAGAGAGCAAAAGGCCACAGGCAAAATAAAAAGGAATACAAAATACAGTACTTTTTCTCCTATGCAAAATCTCAAATAGAAACTATCCTGCATTGGGCCCCTCGCACGATAATTTATTTATTTTTTACCTGTCAGTTCTGAGGATCAATGTCCCCATGGTTGTTGGTCTTGTCAACCAGGCTGTTTGATGTAGCTACTTGCAGCCTGATGTATGAGTCACAGCTAGGTTGATCAGGTATCCTTAGAAGGCATTTGTCAAGTTCTGTTTTGGACATTGTGAGAGATCGGCCAGTTATGCCCCGTATGTGCAGGGAAAAGTGTTGAAAAGTCTTGGGTCTCTGATGTTGATTGAGTTTTATCTCGCCGTGCCTATTGCACCTCTGTTTTTCAGTGGGGTTGTTTTGCACATCCTGTTGTGCCTTCTGTTCTCATATCATATTATTTCTTTGTGCAGATTTGGAACAAGTCTTTCTAGTACTGTATTTCCAAGTGTAAATTATTATGTATCTCTTGCCTGCACTAGGGAGTGCAGTTTTAAAAATTTTAAGCGATCCTAATAATTTATATATTTTATTGAATGGATTCAGGTAGTCAAAAATCTTTGCACACTTTGCAGGTCAGCAATTTCTCCAGCTTTTATTGGGTCTGTTAGTGTGCAACAATATTCCACTCTAGAGCACTCGTGTCTAAAAAGTATAATCTTGGTGTGGCATCTCTAGTTTGAATGGTTCTTGTTATCCAAGCTGTAATTTTCTTAGTTGTGACAGCTACTTTGTTGTGTTCTTTAAACGTAAGGTCTTCAGACATTGTAAGGGAGGGCATGAGGTTCTAAGCCTTACCCTAGACTACAAACTAGATAATCGTAGATAAACTAGAAAACCGTACCCTAGATAATCGAAACCCATCCTTACGAAACACACTCCTCACTCCTAGGGCCAAACAAGGTTAAAGTATACACCTAGGGAAAATAATACTTGCTATCTTTACAAAGAATTTTATTTCTAGAGCTTAAAGTTACTTTACAAGATAACTATGCAAATGAAAATACTATTTTCACAGAAAATATACTGTATTACATTGAAAAGTGTTACAGTACTTTGAAAACTGGTCTCACTAAAACTTGGACTTAAAGTTGCTACATTACTTTATAATCTTCTTACAACTCTAATTGTGATTTGCAGATATTTTAACAGACAAGGTTCTCACTAGTTAAACCAGTATCATGGACAATGAATGGTAGGACTCAGAACACATGTTCAGAAATACACTCTCTGGAATGGATGAACACCAACAAAAATTAATGCCAGCCGACCACTGGGACATGTACACAATTTATATACTGTACCTATATCTTACACCTAACTATTCTAGGAATAGCACCACAAATGGCATAAGTTGTCATTGTACAATTCTTATTGTTGAAAAACCACTGAGCGTCCCACTGATATTGGCAGGTCTGCTACTTATCCCCACCGCCAGCAAAGTGAATGAATCACCGGCACGTGTTTTCTGTCCAACCACCAGCAAAAACAGTGGCACCTCGACTTACGATTGCCCCGACTTACGATAATTTCGAGTTACGATGTAAATTTAATAAAAAAAATGCGACTCGACATACGATGGTGTCGTCAACTAACGATATTTGTTGGTACACGTTCGGGTCGACCGAGCGTGTGGTTCCCGGTCACGCGGCCGACCTGCCTCAGTTTACTACAGCTGCCCACTTAGTGATGATCGCGCCCATAAGAAATTCCGATTTTGTGGTGATTTTTTGCATTTTAAACATTAAAGTAATTATTATATATCACGCCATGAGTCTCAGGAAAGTCAGTGGTAAGGCTCAACATACGAAAACCCATGTAAGGATGACCATAGAGCAGAAACAAGAGATCATTCATAAATATGAAGATGGTGTGCAGG